CCCACAAGTTCCCAGTTCCAAAATAAAATCTCAATTGAACCCACACCTGTGGTTTCCAGCCAAACAAAATACAGGCATATGAGTTAAACATTTACCTCAAGTAGATACACTCCTTGGAGAGAACAATCATGGGAGAAAGAAGGGCTGCTTATGCACAGGGAGACAGCTCAGGGGGCAGGAGTATATGGAGGGATGGACACTGCGAAGAGGTAACTATGGGGAGGAAGTGGGAGGGGAGCTGTTGCATTGTGGTAAACTGTGGTCAATGACATGAGACAAAGTATAGGTGAACTGCTATATGGAAAGTGAATTTGCTCTGTAAATCTTCACCCAAATCACATTAAAAAAAAATAAAATAAAATCTCTTGGTATGTGTAAAATGACTTTATAATAAAAAATGAACAGATGGAGACAATGGAAACCAGATCAATACTGATGATTTCTCATATTTCAAACTACCTATGACCCTTCCTAATATCACATGCAAGTAAGATATTACTGAAGATAATTCAGAAACGTTTGCAGCAGTATATTGACAGAGAACTTCCAGAGGTTCAAGCCGGATTCAGAAGAGGACGTGGAACAAGGGATATCATAGCTGTTGTCAGATGGATCTTGGCTCAAGGCAAAGAATACCAGAAAGAGGTTTACTTGTGTTTTATTGACTATGCAAAGGCATTTGATTGTGTGGATCATGACAAATTATGGATAACATTGAGAAGAATGGGAATCCCTGAGCACTTGATTGTACTCATGAGGAATCTGTACCTTGACCAGGAGGCTGTCATTCGAAGAACAAGGGGACACTACATGGTTTAAAATCAAGAAGGGAGTGCGTCAGGGTTGTATTCCTTCTCCACACTTATTCAATCTATATGCTGAGCAAATAATCCGAGAAGCTGGACTATATGAAGAAAAACGTGGTATCAGGATTGGAGGAAGAATCATTAACAACCTGAGATATGCAGACGATACAACTTTGCTTGCTGAAAGTGAGGATGACTTAAGGCACCTACTGACGAAGGTTGAAGAATACAGTCTGCAGTATGGATTACATCTCAACATAAAGAAAACAAAAATCCTCACAACTGGACCAATGAGCAGCATCACAATCAATGGAGAGAAGATTGAGGTTGTCAAGGAATTCACATTGCTTGGTTCTACAATCGATGCCAACGGAAGCAGCAGTCAGGACATTAGATGACGTGTAGCATTGGGAAAGTCAACTGCAAAGGAACTGTTTCAAGTGCTGAGGAGCAAGGATATCTCCTTGAGGACTAAGGTGCGCCTAACACAAGCCATGATATTTCCAATCACCTTGTATGCATGTGAGAGCTGGACAATGAATAGGGAAGACCGAAGAAGAGTTGATGCTTTTGAGTTGTGGTGCTGGCAAAGAATGCTGAAAGTACCATGGACTGCTAAAAGAACTAACAGATCTGTCCTGGAGGAAGTGCAGCCAGAATGCTCCTTGGAAGCAAGAATGGCCAGACTTCGTCTCACCTATTTTGGTCATGTTGTAAGAAGGGATCATTCCCTGGAGAAGGATGTCATGCTTGGTAGGGTGGAGGGTCGACGAAAGAGGGGGAGGCCTTCAACGAGATGGATTGATACAGTGGCTGCGATGATGGGCTCGAGTATAGCAGGGATTGTGGGGCTGGTGCGGGATCGGGCAGTGTTTCGTTCTGCTGTGCATGGGGTCGCTATGAGTCGGAAACGACTCGACGGCACTTAACAACAACAACAACAATGACCCTTCCTTGCATAGAAACCAGTATTTTGTTCTTTTAACTTGTATTACCTCCCTTCCCTGGTTCTTCTAAGACATATATAATTAAAATCCATGGTCTCATGTGGCTATAGTAGCAGGAATGAGTATGGGTACATGTCTTTAAAATTGGTTACAAAGGAATCACTCTGATAAGAAAAAGACAACAAAACACTCCAGCAAACAAAAAAATTACCATCTAGAAATTTTCTTCCAATTTTTATAACTGTTAGTAACAGCCACAAGTCAGTGAGAGCTGCACACTTATCTGGATGAGGAAAATCCCAATGGAAGTAAGGTATATTACTAGGCTGATCAGAAGGTAAATGAATATGCAATTCTGCTCGGGTCAGTGACATACCTCAGAGAGCAATGATCTAATCTGATTAAGTAGGGAACTGGAGAAGATTAAAAGGAAGCCAATGGAAAAGGACAGCTGAAAAATATTTAAGTATGAACTAAATTAAAATGCTACCTAAATGACTTATAATAGCATACTGATACACCATTTTAAATGTATATCTGAAATTTATCTAGAAAAATTTTATAGACAGTCCAATTATTTTCCCTTGTTCTAAACAGTTAGCCTGCCAGATGTGAAGTTTTTCCCAAGACTCAGGGAGACAATGACAAAACAGTACTTGTTAGTTAGAAACCAACTATAAATAGGCATAGAGAATACAACAAATAAAATTATCAAAATTGGCCTTGATATTACAGATTTGTGGTAGCCAATCTAAAGTGATTACTACACAGCAGAGTTCAAAAAGGGTAGTCCCGTTCAAGATTTTTTGAGGACAAAGAATTATGGATTAGAAAGAAGGCAGGCAGGTATCAGGGACAAATGATTACAGAAATCAGGAGAAGAGATGACAACTCTAAGAACAAGGAAAATAAAAAGCATCCCAGAACTGATGAACCTTAAAAAAACTAGTAAGAAATACAAATAGAAATAAAATGTCCATTCTGAAGAACCAAAGCTTGAGAATGGAAAAGGGAGTCTAGAATGAAAGTGACTCCTATTAATTGCTAAAAGTAGAGAATATGGATAGAATTAAGAGGCTCTTAACTGGAATGAATTGATTATCATTAATTTCATTATCTAGAATGATGAAAGAGGAGCAGTACTTTAGAGTGGTACTTGAGGGCAGCAGTCTAACCTATTTCTCCAGATTCCCTTCTTGACCCACAAATATAATGTATTTAGATCGGATGCATTTTATAATATTTTTTAGTCATATATATTAGGAATCAATTTGGCCTAGCAAAATCCTGAATGCTATAGCACTAAAGCAAACCTAGCCAACAGATAAGCACAGTCTAAAAAATGTATCCTTTGAATACATACTACAAACAAAAGTACTTCTACAATCTTTTAAAAAAAAGAAAAGAAATTCTATTATAATAGTGCCACAAAAAAAAAAAAAAAAAAAAGAAAGAATTGTTCTTAAGTGGAAAAAATGTTTATTTAGGACCATGGACTTTAAAAAAATACCCTGAGACTCAACAGATTATTTTATAGAAAAAGGCACTGAGACAAAGAAAGGCTGAACCCGTCACAGATTCTGAAGCTGGACAGAGGCAGGAACTTGCTAGAGCTGGGATTCTTGTCTTGCCTCCTTCCCCCTTAGTACCAACAGTACTGACAAAATTTAACATACAGAACACAAAATTCACTATGTTGTTTCTATAAGGAGCAAATTCTTGAAATTCTTCCAAGCAAAAATTTATTTTTGCCGCCTTCAATGTTCAACAATTAAAAAAAAAAAAAAAAGTGGCTTGGGGCTAGCTCCAAACAAACAGGAGGACAAGTGAATACTCCTGTATGCTTTAGCAAGTTTTAACAATAGGTTTGTACAAGACCTAGCATTATCTACTTGCACTTTCCCTATGAACTCCCCTACACCTCATATTAAACAAATAGAAGGGGCTGAATTCCAACCCTTTCAGAGGCTGACATCATGGCCAGTTTACCTCCCATTCACTTTACCCTTAGCTCTATAGAGTAGCAGCTCACCACAAAAATATTAGTGACATCTAACTAAGACCAACCTCTTTGTTATGGTTGAAGAACAAGCAAAATCATGGTCAGAAAACAAAGTCAGAACTGCGAGTCATCTTGCCTGTACCTTGTAAGCGCTTAGACTGTAAAGATTTTAATCATATAGCACATTTCCTTCTGCTCTCAAAACTATATTTATAACCAGAGTTCAGCATTCACCTGTTTCTTAATTCCTTCCTGAATGTTAATTTTCACTCTGCTAGAATATAAGCTCTTTAGAAGTTAATGACCATGTCTTTTAGTTTTTGTATTTCCATCATATCTATTTATTCTAGGTACAGAGTAGATACTAAATATATACATATTAATCTAATATCACAGCAGCTACCCAAAACCATTGAAACCAAAGTAATCATGGGGATATGAGAACAGAAATTTTCTAATAAAGAAGAGAAAATATATATATACACGAAAGAACACCAGTGCTATAATTTCAGGAATCCTGCTGTGGTAAAAGCAGCAAGAAGTGGAGTTGGGCTCTTCCTAGGTCCTTCCCTGTGCCAGCTTCACAGATTATCCTTCAGTATAATTGAATCTGCCAAGTGTTAAACTCAAGTGTCTGTGTTTTATATAGGAATCTGGAAGGTAAGGACCAAAATCTCAGTGCAATTATAAATACTTCCAATTAAAAGAACCAAATGGGAATATCACGTGATCAGTAATTTCTCAAAAGTTCCCATTAAAAACTTAAGAAAAAGGTATAAACCAAACTTCTTCATAGAAAAATTGTATTTACAACTCCATTCAAAAGCACTTTTAAAAGGAAACATAATGTAACAATGAGATTGAAAAAATCTTAAGCTCACCCAGAGTTGCTAGGTCCAATAAATTATTAACAGAATACTGCATCAAAAATAAGGCAATAACTTGACATATCCTATTAAAGATTTCTCCACTCCCGTAACTACACAGAAATTATCTAGCAGCAAATGAGACTTCATTTAGTTTTAGCATATCTGAAAACCTTAAGGACAGAAGTGATAAAATGTGATTTTCATTCTTCATTAGACACTTAGAACACCTGAAGGAAAGTAATTTCTAAAGCACAAAGAGGTAAAGAGGTATAATCTTTCAAAAAGATATTCAGTGTTCAAAATTCAAGAATGCAATGTCTATGCATAATGGATAGTAGGTGAACATACACAATGTAGTGATAACAAATTCATTTATTTAGTACTTTTTCCATTCCATATCATCAGGAGGATTGATTTCAACTTTCCTTTTACCCACATCAGACCAATTGGTACTTAAAACTGTGCCACCCGATTCCATCTGCAATAAAGAATAAAAATAGATTAATTCTTGGACCACATAATCAAAACACGTATTTTTCTAAAAATTTTCTAAACATAGATTCCCAAATATAAGCTGTGTTTTTCAATATACACTGAATGCAATATTTTTATTTAATCTTAGGCTTACCAAAGAGGCTTAACATGTTCTACAATATCAGAAAAGGACATTAAGTGAAGTTTGGCAGGAGCAGCATGTTCACATACACTAACATAACAATAACTATTATCCCCTCAGCCAAAAGGCATAAGGTATATGTGGGAAAACCACCTTCAAATGAAAAGGAAATTGGCTCCCAAAGAAAATGTTATAATCTCTTTTGCTAAAGGCAAAAGCAAAGAATTTTTAAAAAAAAAAGCAAAAGATAGCAATTGGCTAGAATTAAGAGCCTCTTCTTAATATTCCCTCTATGCTAAACATCATGTGCATTTACATTGAGATTTAATTTTTTAAACTGAGGTGCATATACACAGGTACAAAGTCACAGTGTCCCTGTGAAGCACTGGCTATCAACTTACCATCTACTGAACAGACTACATGTAAATGCTACTAGCATATTCATAAATACATAAAAAAAATATAACTGCATTTTTTTTTATTTTAACACAGTAAAAACTGACTTGGATCACAGCAAAGAGCAGAGTAAATTATTAAAATATAAACACTGAAAAATAATCAGTTGTGTTAACAGCAAACATATAAAGTTACATACTCTACAATTACACGGAAACTTCTCTAGAACACCAAGTTCTCAGCCAAGGTCCCCTACATGGGTCCTTTTGCACAGGACCCTCTTCTCCAACCCAGTTCTCTGTATGTGACAAATCTGTTTAATAGACTACCCCTAAGGGGACCCTTCAGTTATACAAGTAAAAGAATGGATTTCATTTATAATCTGATTATCTTCACTACTGACACTTAACACTTCCCTTTCTTACTTAAGGACTGCAATGCAATTTAGCATTCTTTTGCACATGTTGCTCTTTTTGTCCCAATTAGACTAGGAGATCATGAAGTACAGAGTCTGTTTTATTTCTTTTGTATTTCTACAAGGGCAGAGCAAGCCCCTGGTATGTTACACACCAATGCTGTCAAACAGATGGCTTGTTTTACTACTGTTCAGGCATATCTCATTTTATTGAGCTTCACAGACACGGTGTTTTTGTTATTCAACAAACTGAAGGCTCATGGCAACCCTGTGTCAACCAAGTCTATTGTGTCAATGCCATTTTTCGAACAGCATGTGCTCACTTAGTGTCTCTGTGTTACGTTTTGGTAATTCTCAACAATATTTCAAACTTTTTTATAATGATATTGCATGCTTAACAGACTGCAGCATAATGTAAACATAAATTTTATATGCATTGGGAAACAAAAAAATTCTCGTGTGACTAGTTTTGTTGCGATATTCACTTTACTGCAGTGGTCTGGAACCAAACTCATAGTATCTCCAAGGTATGTTTGTATATGGTTTATTTACAAAGAGCAAAGTAGCAGCTTTATAAAAATGGCTGTAGTCTCTGTAAGCCACCTTTGAAATTTATATACTAAGTGTCTAGCATCCCTTAAAAAAGTCAATAATGAGATTGACACACCTATACGGGAAAATGGAGTTAGGTATACTTTTCCCTATTCCACCCATGAAGTACAAGTAAAAAGCCTAGACAACACAATTAACAAACATAAAAAGAAACTGAAAGGTTAAGGGAAGAAAACAGACTAGCTAGGGGCATCAGGACCCAAGGAACAAACATGGTGGTGAATTCCCCAGGTTTTCTTTTGCCTCATCTACCCCAGACTTGAAGCTAAAGAAACCAGAAACCTGGAGATGCCAAGGTGCACAAACAGAAAGAGTCATAATAAAAGCCTGCTCTCCCAAGACAAACGAACAAAAGAGAGATACTTTAGGAAGACAGAGAGCTTATACAATAACCATTCTACTCCAGCTAACACCACAGAAAAAAACTGTGGCCCCTCTCCCAGTCATGCTACCAAAGGTGAAGCCTAGACTTTCACCCTTGCAAGGATGCAATGAGTCCTCACTGCAGTTGTCAATGGAAACCACATGGGGTTCTGTTACCATCAGTAACAGAAAGTCTACTCTCAACAGAGAGGTGTCAATATAGGCCAAAGGGAAACCTGGACATCTATCTCTACCTGGCAATAAGACAACTATCTGCAAGAACACTATCCGAGAAAGCCAGCTAAAACAAAGTTTAAATGACATAGTACAAAAATGTCCAAGTTTTTATTGAAAATCACTCATCATACAAAGAACAAAAACTCTAAATTAAATTTAAAAAAAGTGTGTATTTAATTTTGCATGGGAGGCATCTATAATCCAATAGATCCAACACCAAAATGACAGATGTTTAAACTACATGATAAAGATCTTAAAGCAACCAAGGTGAAAATCCTTCAGTAAGAAATTATGAACTTTCTTGAAACAAATGAAAAAATAGAAAGCCTCAGTAAATCAGAAAATCTCACCAAAGAAATAGACACAAAGAAGAAACAAATGACTGTTTCACAACTGAGGGAAAAAAAAAAAAAAAAAAAGAAGTAATAGCTCAGAGGATGGGCTCAACAGCAGAATGGAGGGAACAGAGAAAAGAATCAATGAGCTGAAAACAGAAGAATAAAAACTACCCAATCTGAATGACATGGAAAAACAGACTGAAAAAATAAATAAATAAACAGAGCTTCATGGATCTGTGACTTTAAAAGGCATTTGTGTCATAAGAGTCTCAGAAGGAGAGAAAAAAGAAGGCAGGCTTGAAGAGTACTCAAAGAAGTAACAGTGGAAAACATCCACAAATATAGCAACAGACATAAACTTACAGATACAAGAAGCTGAGAGAATCTCAACCAGGATCACCTCAAAAACATCCATGCTAAGACAAAGAATGTCTCAACAGCAGACTTACCCTAAAGTAAGTTTTCTAAAGAAAAAGGAAATAATAAAAATAAGAAACTTTATAAAATCAGGAAGGAAGGAAAAACCAAGTAAATAAAAAATATGAGTAAATACAATAGGCTTGCTTTCTTGAGTTTTCTAAATTTGCTGGTTGAAGCAAAAATTGTAACACCATCTGATATGGTTTAAAATATATGTAGAGAAAACGTTCGAGACAATTATATTATAAACAACAACAAAAAAAACAAACTCACTGCCATCAAGTCAATTCTGACTGCTAGCGTGACCCCCACTGGTCATCTTTCTTCTGCTGGGCAGCTGGTGGGATCAAACCACCAACTTTTCAGTTAGCAAAATGCCTTAACCACTACACCACCAGAGCTCCTTTATATTTATTATAAACAAAGAAGAGTAAAAGGATATAAAGGGAAGCAAGGTTTCTACATTACTTGCCTTAGTTAAATAATACCACCAGCAGATTGTGAGACATTATGTTCGCTATATAGGAAATATAAGAAAGCAACCAAAAAAAAAGCTATACTAAGAATGAACTCAAAAACACTTGGTAAAAGAATGATGTCACAGAAAATCATGGAATTGGAAGATATGTCAGGGGTCAATCCCTCTACTAAAACCACTATTAAACTGAAAGAAACTATCAAAATAAACTATTATAGAACTCTGGACCCAGATCAGACACTTACGGCAACCAGGGCAATGGCTGGGGAAGGCAAAAGCTGCTGAAATTTGGTACGAGAACAGCACCCTGAAACAGCTACTATCCTTTACTCCTCGGCCCCACTGTGGCTGTAGAGACCATGACCCACATTCCTGTAGTGGCTGGCTAGTGCCAGAGTGGAGACTAATGTCCACTTCAAAATTTTGGGGTTACGAATTTTGGTTCATCTGAGGGACCAGCAGAGATGTTTGTCTTTGTTTCAGCTCTCTCAGGTTACACTTGCTTTCTTGGCATAAGCTATTAAAAGAGTAAGAGACATACACCTTTTTTTTTTTTAATACTGATCCAAACATTGAAGAAAATCTGTCAGGGAGATCACAAAGATAATGGAACAGAGACTTTAGTGACCATACACAACAAGGAAAATACAGACTTTGCAAAAATGGTCTGGAAAAAAAAAATCAACGAATATAACTGCAGCTCTCAACAAGCCAAAATCAGCAATCCCTGAGAGAGGAAAATGTGATTTCGAGAGTTAACACATAATTATACATAAACAATCAATTCTTAAAAAATAAAATAATAATCACAAAGCATACAGATAAACAAGAATCTGTGACCCATTCATAGAAAAAAAAGAACTTGACAGAAATTATCTCTGACAAAGCTCAGACATCAGAATCATAAAAGATGTTAACTGTCTTAAATATGCTCAATGAACTAAAGGAAGGCATAGAAAGAGAACTAAATGAAACCAAGAAAACAATGTATAAGCAAATAGGAAATATTAATAAAGAGATAGAAATTATAAAAAGGAACCAAATAGAGATTCTGGAGATGAAGTACAATAGGTGAAATGAAAAATTCACTATAGGTTCTATGGCAGATGTGAGGAGGTGAAATAAAGAATCAGCAAACTTGGAAATAAGGCAACTGAAATCAAATCACGCAGTCTTAGGAGCAAAAAGAAAAGAAAAAAAAAAGGAAGAAAAATAAACAGCATTCAAGAGACTATCAGGACATCATTAACCACACCACCAACATGCATACCATGGGAATCCCAGAAAAAGAAAGAATATTTATAGAAATAATAGTCAAAAGCTTCCCAAATTTAATGAAAAATATGAATCTACACATTCAAAAACCACAACAAACTCCAAGCAGGACAAGCTCAAAGAGGTCCACATCATGACACAAAGAGTAAGAGAGAATCTGGAATGTAGCATGAGAGAACTTAATCATTACATGCAAATAACTGTCAAGAAGATTAAGTGCCCACAACTCCTCAGAAACTATGGAGGACAGAAGGCAGTGAAATTACATATTTACAGTGCTGAACGAAAAACCTGTCAACCAAGAATTCTGTATCAGAAAAAATTGTCC